TCCTTTCTCTTAATTCTCTGTTAATGAAAAGAGAAGGAAATAGGGGAGAGGGAGAAGAGAGTCCAGCCCAGCTGGGCCTCTCACCGGCCCAACCTTCCCCACAACCCATCAGCCAGCTAGGCCTCCCAGCTGCTGCACCTAGGCCCATTTGCCCCTAGGCCCAGCCGGCGCCCTTCCTAACCCTAGCCGCCAGGGAGCCCGATTCCTCTCTCTCGATCTCACCTTCTCCCTCCAGGCAGCGCTGCCACACCCGTCATCCCTCTCCCTCGATCCCCATCTCTCCTTCTCTCGCTCGTCTCCCCAGCCTCTCCTGCCTGATCCCCATCGACACTCTCTCCCTCTCATCCTCCCACACCGCCGCCACTTCATGCCCGCACAGCCAGCGCCAGGGGTAGGCGCCGCGTTCGATCCACAATGCCTGCACCTCCTCCTTTCTCTTCTGCCACCATGACGCACCCGCGCCACCGGGCTCCTCCCCTCAAACCCTGACCTCGGCCTTCGGCCATGGCGCCGCGCCGACAACCACCAGCAGGATGCCGCCCTGCGTGCATTTTGCCCCTTCGGAACGCCAAGGTGGGTCTCTACCGTTGACGAGGTTCCGATAAGACCGTCAAGTGAACGACTACTTCCACGACGATACGAGAACAACTACCGTCGACGTGCATTTTGCCAAGTACCACTACCGTCGACCCTCGAAGACTCCGTGAACGCCGAGTTCCTCGCCGTGACCCCGAACATCTACGAAAACTTGTGCGACTAAGAACGTGAACGACTACCGTCGACCCCAAGTGACTCGGATTCGTCAAGTCCCTCTACGAAACGTGTATCACTACTTCCATTACCGACGCCGTGTACCACTACTTCCACTACGACCGTCCCGAGAACGCCTACTTCCTCTACATTGCACCGAACCCGAACCGTCCCGTTTGCACGCTTCGAAGGTATAACCCCGAGACGACGCCCATGATTGAATGCATGTGAGTCGTATGAGATGAACCCCGCGTTTGCACCGTGTCCGAAATTGTCGCTTGCATGTTCCTCCTTGTTGCCATGCCGTCCACCCGTGGGAACCCGGTAACCGGGATCACCCCACCATCTTTTGCACGCTCCCGCCACACTTCCTTTGCACCGATATCTCCATGAGCTACCGGAACCGATATGTTGTCGTGGCATCATTTTTGAATTAGTTGTCGTGGCCCCCTTTTCCTTCCGCCATGGCGACAAATGCTTCATAACATGCTCATGTCAACATTTTCTTAAAATTGCATAAAACTTGTATATGTCATCTGCATCATGATAACAACATTTAAAATGTTTAAAATTGTTGTTTGCATTAAATTGCTAAATATGCATATGGGGATTTTCCGGAATTGTTGTTTGTTGTTCCGGCCTCATTTAAAATGCCTAAATAGTTAGTTTACTTATGCCTCGCTTCTTGCCATGTTTAACCAACATTGAACATTGTTGAGTACATAAACAAAAGGAAACTAAATAACCGATTGTGGTGTTTCATCAATATGCAACTCATTGCATATTGAACTTCACTTAATTTGTAATGTTGTTTGTGCACTTTGCCATGCCATGCTTATTTAAACCGGACATGCATCATGCCATGCTTGTGATGGTTGTTTACCATGTTGTTTGCTTCTTTCCGGTTGCGCTTCTCCTTGATAGTTCCGGTTACGTTGCGTTTGTGAGGATTCGCGCGACTACGTCCGTTTGTCTTCTTCATGCACTCGTTCTTCTTCCTTGCGGGATCTCAGGCAAGATGACCATACCCTCGATATCACTTTTATCTTTGCTTGCTAGTTGTTCGTTCTATCGCTATGCCGCGCTACCTACCACTTGTTTATCATGCCTCCCATATTGCCATGTCAAGCCTCTCACCCACCTTCCTAGCAAACCGTTGTTTGGCTAAGTTACCGCTTTTGCTCAGCCCCTCTTATAGCATTGCTAGTTGCAGGTGCCGTGCAGGTTGTTCCCTGTTGGAACATGGATATGTTGGGATATCACTATATCTATTGTTTAATTAATGCATCTATATACTTGCTAAAGGGTGGAAGGCTCGTCCTTATGCCTGGTGTTTTGTTCCACTCTTACCGTCCTAGTTTCCGTCATACTGGTGTTATGTTCCTTGATTTTGCGTCCCTAACACGATGAGGGCTATGGGACCCTCTTGACAGTTCGTTTTGAATAAAACTCCTCCAGCAAGGCCCAACCTTGGTTTTACATTTGCCTAACAACCTATAACTTTCCCTTGGGGTTGCAAACCCGAGGGTCATCTTTATTTTAACCCCCCCCCCACCAGTGCTCCTCTGAGTGTTGGTCCGAAACGAGCAGCCTGCGGGGCCACCTCGGGGAAACTTGAGGGCTGGTTTTACTCGTAGCCTGACCTATCCGGTGTGCCCTGAGAACGAGATATGTGCAACTCCTATCGGGATTTGTCGGCACATTCGGGCAGTCTTGCTGGTTTAGTTTTACCATTGTCGAAATGTCTTGTGCACTGGGATTCCGAGCCTGGTCGGGTGTCCCGCGATGAAGGATTGTCTCCACGGATCATGAGCTTGTGATGGGCTAAGTTGGGACACCCCTGCAGGGTATAAACTTTCGAGAGTCGTGCCCGCGGTTATGTGGCAGATGAGAATTTGTTAATATCTGGTTGTAGAGAACTTGACACTTAACTTAATTAAAATGAATCAACCGCGTGTGTAGCCGTGATGGTCTCTTTTCGGCGGAGTCCGGGAAGTGAACACGGTCTTGTGTTATGTTTGAACGTAAGTAGTTTCAGGATCACTTCTAGCTTCACGACCGTTGCGTAGCTTCTCACCTTACTCTTATTTGCGTGTGTTAGCCACCATATTTGCTTAGCGCTTCTGCAGCTCCACCTCATTACCGTATCCTACCCATAAGCTTAAATGGTCTTGATCTCGCAGGTGTGAGATTGATGAGTCCTCGCGACTCACAAATACTTCCAAACAGTTGCAGGTGCCGATGATACCAGTGCAGGTGACGCAACCGAGCTCAAGTGGGAGCTCGATGAAAATCTTGGTCGTTGTTATGTGTCTTTTTTCGGTTGATCAGTAGTGGTGCCCAGTTGGGACGTTCGGGGATCTAGCATTTGGGTTGTCTTCTTTTATTTTGGTTCCATAGTTGGACCTTGATTGTACTCTGGATGATGTATGTTTAACTTGTTATTTGTGTGAAGTGGCGATTGTAAGCCAACTCTTTATCCCTTTCTTATTCAGTACATGGGATTGTGTGAAGATTACCCCTCTTGCGACAAAACCACAATGCGGTTATGCCTCTAAGTCGTGCCTCGACACGTGGGAGATATAGCCGCATCGTGGGCGTTACACATAGCCCCCTCCAATTCGTGAATGTCGGGACAAATCAGTGTACTTTGGCATGTACTCTACATCACCTCTCGTCTTTGGTTATTTACTCACGATTGCAGTTGATTGCAGCCGATTCCATGGGTGCGGCGGCGCTAGCGGGGATGGACAAGCTGAGCATGCCACTGCATGCATTGGGGGTCCTAGAGGCACCACACAACGTCGTTGAAGGCCACCGGCGGACGACGGGAGGAGCGGCGCATAAGGGGCGGTGCAGAGCAGCGAATACTATGGAGGTTCACTGGAGAGGAAGCACTGAAGGCGGCAACCGGCGGTGGGTTTGTGGCTGTTTTTTAACAGCGATACTTCATTTTTGTAAGTGTCTAATTGAGCCTGACTTGTTCCATGTCTACGGATTGTCTCATTCCATGTCTTGACATGCTTTTGCTACTTATGATTCACGTTCATGTTATTTACTTGTCAAGTATGAGTATGTCTTGTGAGTACGAAAGTTCTCATCGGGGATTCCAATCCTAATATCTTTGCAGGTGAGTCCAGCATACGTGAGTACTTTGATTCCGGTCACGTAGGCGATGCCTAGTTGTTAGGTCACTCGGTTCGTTAGCTCAATCCGGGTTGTTACTTTTGGGCGGGGTGGCATGGCTGTCATCCCATGTTTATGCTTTTATCATTGCCTTGTTATTATGACCGGCCTTAAAGCCGTTTGTTTGTAATTATCTACCTCTCATGTATTGCCCTTTGGATCCCAAATGTGAAGTCAAACGATAAGGGGTGATCGCTCGTCCAATCTTGCCTGAATTGGCCTCTTTGGATTACAGGAATTTGAAAACGTAGGAGCAGGAAAAACGCAGGATTGAGATGTCATGTACCATGGAATCCTACAGGATTTCAAAACATAAGAATACTGAAGCATGTACCTTTGGTGGAGGACAGAAAACGAAGACTGGAATTTCAGATGATTTGAGGAAACAGGGTAGAGAGAGATCGAGTGAAAGTGCATTGGACTTCGCAAAGGAAAAATGAGGTTTGAGCTCATGTTAAGATTCGTATGTAATGGGAGGCATAGGAATGGAATTTAGTAGTCACAATCCTATGATCCAAAGGGCTTTCATAGGGGGGGGGGGGAATCCTTAGGATTCAATCCTCCAATGTTCCCAGTTCCCATGAAAATTGTACAATCCAAAGAGGCCCTTTTAAATTATGTGAACCAATGTGGTCACTGGTGCATCAGAAATAATGTTCAACTTTTGCTATCTTGATTTATATTATCTAACTTATGCATCTAGCTAAATTCATTCCTAGGAAGTGTAAATTTTGGGTTGTACACTAGTCCAGATTATTTTTTGTTGAGGACATATCTTTAGTTGGTGCAGAAGTGAAAGAGAAACCGTTCAAGTACCCTCTCTAGTCTCAAAATCTTGTTACCAGGGATAAGTAGATTCAGAACTTTTACACTTGACCAAAATATCATTTTAGATATTTGAAACACATATAAATTATTTTGTCAAGCAAAATACTGTCATGATATTAAACCTCTGTGTTATTTAGAAATGTAGTATTGTAACAGAAACTTGTGAATAAATTGAGACTGCGACACTGAACAGTGGAGAAATAATAAGAATTTAGTGGACGCGAGGAAGTTGTTACCTTTGCCATATTGAAGGAGGGGAACCGCGAAAAGGCTTTTGAGAGAACATCGTCATTAACTTCGTTACCTAGATCTCCACAAAACAACCTGTAGTCATCTGTAAAAAAATCGAACAGAATGAGCAATTGGGGAAAGTAAATTTATGGATGAACTGTAAACTGAAAGAGTATGAGAGAGGATATACTTTCGGGCCACTCGGTGAGGGTAGGATCCTCCCAGGACTGTCCGGCTGCACGACGAGGTATTGTCTTCTTCTTGGCGGCAGCGTCGGAGGAGGAGGCGGAGGCCCTGGCAGCAGAGGGGTCGAGGACGTCGCTGGTGGCGAGGGCGGCCTTGACGCTCTCGAGCGCCTCGGGGGTGATGGTCTGCGCGTCCCGCTGGAAGAGCTGCTGAGCTTGCTGCAGCTGCTGGTACTGGTAGGTCGCCACCGGCTGCTGCTGCTGCAGGTGGAAAGGGAGCGGGAAATAGCTGCCCCCCGCCGGAAGCGCGGATGACGAAGAACCGGGAGGTGGAGGAGGAGGAGGATTAGGGTTCCGAGGATCCGACGACATCTGCTCCAATCCAATCACCCCACAAAAAAAAAAATCCTCGCTTTGAGAGAGGAGGCTAGGGTTAGGGGTTCCTTCCTTCCCTGCCGATGCAATCGAAAGGAAACTAGGATTGGATCCTCTCTTTTTTTTTTCGCCCCCACTTTACCAGTCCGTTGAGATAGCAATGAACTGCTTGGGCGCTCTTTTCTCAAAAAAAAGAAAAAAAAACCTGGTTGGGCGTTCATTTCTCTTCTCTATTATTAAAGGGGATCGAACGGTGATGGTTCGACCTTCCCTCGTGATTTGACCACCTCGTTCGATCTCTCGCCTTGTACAACAACCATCGCTCGGTGTCCCACACGGCCACACAAAATCCAGCCCGCAAGCCCATGTACCATCGATACTGCATTGGACGTGGCCCACCCCGTGTTGGACGTGGCCCGGAAACCAGCCCACACTTCCTCCCATCCCAGACCGAATACAGAGAGAGAGATTGTCGCTAACATGCACTCACGTCTCTGCCTCCCCCAACTCCCAACTCACTCCCGATCCCGACCCCATCTCTCTCCAGGAAAAGTCGCCGCTGCCGCCGGCTATGCTCGTCGCCCCGCCACCTTTCCATCCGCTGCCACGCGCCTTTCTGGATCAAGGTGAGGGATGCCTCCCGTCCCGTGCGCCCGCCTTGGAAGAGAGAGGGGGAGAGAAAGACAGAGATAAGAGAGAGGGAGGGGCGGACAGCGGCGGCGCTGGCCTAATCGCCGACAGAGGAAGATGAGGTTGTGGTTCCAAAGCGTGACGGCTCGGCGCTGCTGATTCACGGCTGTCGACTTCCTTGTTTGCTTCTGGCTGCGGGCGCGGCGCACCTTGCCTTCATGTCACCAAGAAGGTCTGCAGTCCATCATCATCCGACGTAAAACTTCAGGGCGGCCACCAGAAAGATCATGATATGCCGCCATTATGCAGGAGCTCTCGGTTATGGTGAGACAGAAACTCCAGAATACTTACACTTATAGCTATATTGTGTCTCTTTTTTTCTTCCAGGCTTCATATTCATTGGTTGATATGATTTCTTAGGTTAGGATAATTTTTTTTGGATAATCCTGGTCTGAAACCTTGTGCAGAAGGAAAATCTGCTTCCCAATCAAGCAGTTCATCAACAACAATGCCAAGATTAATAATAAGTTCAACAAGGAAGCCAAACAACTTTTTATAGTGTGCACTCTCACAAGTATTATGGTTGGTAGTTGTTTCCCCTCTCCTGATCGAATGAATTATGGATGTCTCTGGTGCTACTGATAGATTGGTTTGGTGGTTGATGTGATTTTTCAGGCCTGGTAAACAAGAAGGCGGCCAACTGCTTGTAAAGAGAAACCGATAAGGAGAGCTCGACATGTAAGGTGATTATCGCTTCTCTTTGATTTCTTTCAGCATGAACGTAGATGTGCAAATTCAGATAACTTTTATTGTCTGTGTCGCTTCAATACAGATTTTATTATCTGTTCATCTTTCTAACTTTAACCAGTGGTTTGGTTGTAGACCGGCAGCAAACTGTAGTACAATAAATCAGGTAATTAATTTGTTGTTTTACCGCATTCTGGTATCAACTACTAAGCAAAGTAGTACAATAAACAATTTTGGCTTGCATCGATTTTTCTTGTTACTATGTCTTTTTTGAAAGGACAAATTAGTTTTAAAGTTAATTTTATTTTTCACCATTTGACATGTTAATATTTTTGTCGTGTACTGATATACTCCCTCCATCCCAACATAAGTGTCTTTGATTTAATAAACTTTACAAAATTGTACTAAATCAAAGATGCTTATTTTGAGATGGAGGGAGTGCTTGCCTTGCGTTTTTCCTTTCTTTTAGTGCTAGGAAAAAACAAATGTCGGTTGATATGCTCTTGATATGGCCCTGCTAAGTACAATTAACTTCGTTTTAAAAAATCACACATATATTCTGATTCATAATAGCATTGTAGGCAAAGGGTTGGAACACGCGGTGTTTAAAATTTAGACAATAATTTCTAGTATAGTATTCCGAGGATTGGACAACAATTTTTAGTATAGTATTCCGAGGACTACTAGATGGTTTAAGGTGACAGCTTCGGATCCCAAAAATGTGTGTGAGGAGTCTCCAAACGCGCGCTACAGGCTACATCCTTAGGTTTAGTCGTCTATTCTAGCTTAATCGTGTATAGACCATTCCATTAGTGATATTGATCCCTCCGTTCATTTTTATAAGGCGTTTAAAACAACTGGCTTTGAACTGTTTAGAACACTGTCTGAACAGGCTTAAACGTCTTATATAAGTGAACAAGGAGAGTAGTAGTTATCACGAGGAATCCCTCATATCTGGATTGAGAATTTGCTATTATGAGATTTTCCATCCATGTCGTGCTCTACTCAATTGGCATACTAGGCAACCTGTACATGGCCAAAAAAGATCTGACTGCCGAATCCCGTCCTCGAGCAGGCTTGGGAATTGAAGATACCTAGACTCCCATGAGGTGGGTATCATCAGGTAAAGCTATGTTATGAACAGCGACAACTCATATGAGGATGCCGAGGAGATCAATTTGATTCCTTTATTGCTATTGTTGCACGACAATATCTGTTATTGTCGCTATTGTCAGGAAAAATATCCCAATATACACACTGTATTTGCCAATGTAACAGCATGGTTAATCTCAATCTGGGACAATGCATTATTTTCTAAATATAGTCAAACATCACCGGATATATACTTTGAACAGTCAAAGGAACATGCTACCAGCAGGAAGAAAACATGCTTGCATTTTCTTAGATGGTATGTAGGACCTGAATACTATTTGCCGGACTGCCGACGTACTATGTATATTGTAACAGAACTACGTGGATGATAATATCATTAGATAAACTTGAAAGAATTATGGTGGCTGTTAGTTTGCTTGAAGTGAGTATACACTACAATGCTTCTCATAGCTTTATACTTCTATGATGCAAACTTATGTATTCTGGAGTTTTTTTTTGCTAGGGAACTCTGAAGCATGTGGTTGAAGTAAATCTACATTCTGAGAAAGAATTTGCATATTCAGGAGGACTGCAAACGTAGTGCTTGCTTTGTTAATATTTTTATGTTCTCAAGGATGTTAAAGGGTTCCTCCTGAGAACCAAGAGGACAAGCTTGAACTCAAGCTGCCTCTTCACATAGAAGTGCTTGAACGCAATATGCTCCTCCTGAGTCAGTTGACAGATATAGAAATAAGATTTTATGAGAAGTAACCTGAAGGTCAGATTTGTTTTGTAGTAACTGTACCTCTTATGTTATCTTTTTCTTCTTTATGATTGGGAGTAGTATATGTTGTTTTAGAGGGTCTATTTTTCAGAAAATAAGATTATGCTTTTTTGTTTCTGTACTCAACGTAATTCATGTTTCCTTTCACTTAGTTGCGAGAGGCACTGCTTAAGTTTTATTTCAACTAATTGGTCGCTGAAAAAGATATTAAAATAATATTTTGAATTGATAAAACATAATATATATAAAAATACAACATTTTGAAGAGGGTTCAAACACAATGGCGACAAAAAAGGTGAAGGGAAAGGAAGGGTAAGGATAAAGATATGATGTGAGGAGAGCGTGGTTAAATAAACACAACCATGCCTACGAAGAAAGAAGGGGAAGAAATAATGAATCTGTTGTTATAGGGATTGAAACAATCATGCTTCACTATGTTTTCTGTTTGTATTTGCCAATGTAACATCATGATTAATCTCGATCTTGGACAATGCATTATTTTCTAAATATAGTCAAATATCACCGGATATATACTTTGAACAGTCAAAGGAACATGCTACCAGCAGGAAGAAAACATGCTTGCATTTTCTTAGATGGTATGTAGGACCTGAATACTATTTGCCGGACTGCCGACGTACTATGTATATTGTAACAGAACTACGTGGATGATAATATCATTAGAAAAACTTGAAAGAATTACGGTGACTGTTAGTTTTCTTGAAGTGAGTATACACTACAATGCTTCTCATAGCTTTATACTTCTATGATGCAAACCTATGTATTCTGGAGTTTTTTTTTGCTAGGGAACTCTGAAGCATGTGGTTGAAGTAAATCTACATTCTAAGAAAGAATTTGCATATTCAGGAGGACTGCAAACGTAGTGCTTGCTTTGTTAAGATTTTTATGTTCTCAAGGATGTTAAAGGGTTTCTCCTGAGAACCAAGAGGACAAGCTTGAACTCAAGCTGCCTCTTCACATAGAAGTGCTTGAACGCAATATGCTCCTCCTGAGTCAGTTGACATATATAGAAATAAGATTTTATGAGAAGTAACCTGAAGTTCAGATTTGTTTTGTAGTAACTGTACCTCTTATGTTATCTTTTTATTCTTTATGATTGGGAGTAGTATATGTTGTTTTAGAGGGTCTATTTTTCAGAAAATAAGATTATGCTTTTTTGTTTCTATACTCAACGTAATTCATGTTTCCTTTCAGTTAGTTGTGAGAGGCACTGCTTAAGTTTTATTTCAACTAATTGGTCACTGAAAAAGATATTAAAATAATATTTTGAATTGATAAAACATAATATATATAAAAATACAACATTTTGAAGAGGGTTCAAACACAATGGCGACAAAAAAGGTGAAGGGAAAGGAAGGGTAAGGATAAAAATATGATGTGAGGAGAGTGTGGTTAAATAAACACAACCATGCCTATGAAGAAAGAAAGGGAAGAAATAATGAATTTGTTGTTATAGGAATTGAAACAATCATGCTTCACTATGTTTTTTGTTCACCCATAGCAACGCACGGGCGTTAAACTAGTAGAAATTAGAATGTCCATAAAAAATAAGATATTACAAAATGTGGAATTTCAAGAAAAACTGATAAGTGCCACTCATGTGGACTGAAGGAGGGCGGGGCACACGACCTTTTAGCCACCCATTATGACACGTTGACCTTTTTCTATTTTCCGCATGCAAACATGATAGTAAATGATGATATTAGCGGGAATCTTTGGGTTTTCA